GAATCCAGAAGACTTTATACATTTGACATGAAATCATGCTATAGTTATAGTGTCCCGATTATAATTACTTTCCCAACTCGGTCTCAATTAATCCTTCTAGACCTAAAGCTATTCACCATCCAAGTTTTTTTTGGAATTTTATTTATCAGATTCCTGCACAATCAATTTTCATACTTGGATACTATTCATGTCTTGGATACTATTGATTTTTGGTTGAGAAAAATAATTATGTTGGGTATATATGGTAATCATGGGCCCATCTGCTTAGGTCCCTCATATCATTTTAAAGTCTTGTCTGTTCTATCGCTCGTGAGAAGGGCGATTCATATATAGGATAATGGGCGATAAGCTGCTTTCTGCGACAGCCACGCCGCTATCGAGTAGTTCGAAGTTTTCGATTTTTATCTTCATCATTAACCCTATCCTCAGTTCCTTTTCTAGATTACTATAAGATCCATCCCTTTTTAATTGAAATTTTGCACTAAATATCCTCCATTAAATGAAAGCATCTTCTTTAGGGAGCTGTTTCTCAAGATTCTCAGCTTATTTTACCATGAATTACTACAAGTGATTGTCAATTACTTCAATTGGTGAATTAATGAGCAAATAGAAAGTCGAAACAATGTGCGAAAAAGGAATAACCCTTTCATCAATTATCATTCATTTTAGAGATGTTTGGGATCCCTTATAGCTCAAAATCGTAGGTGGCATAATGCAGTCATTACCGGACACCATGTAGAATTATCTAAATATTTATCTTCTTCAGGATAGTTAGACTCCACAGCTAAGCTAAAATTTAGGGGTTTGATTGAAACTACATCACAAACAGCTAACTAAGTCATGGGATGCCTTATTAAAATCACAAGGATAGGTGTATGACGAGTGACTAGGGTTACATCTGGCTATCTTTCATTTTGACTTTATATATTTATTGCGCTATTTCTTAAAGTATGCATTCTCACTCTGATGATATCTGTCAAATTATGGATGAAGGTTTAGCAGAGGTTCATCTGGGTCGCAGGGTAGTGAGTCGAGGAATTTTTACAATCTTTCAGTCCTAGGAAATTTTCTTTCGCCTTCCGACGAGACCATTCTACGAATTCTTTTTAACCAACTTCGAAATGGAGCGTCATGTCATAATTGCTACACACTCTTGTCTGTTGATTGCAGTTTAACTAGATACAGTTGGATTTTATTTAATGTATGATTGGTTTAATCATAAATCTCCATTTCAAAAGCAGTATTCAATTTTTTTATTTTTGAACCAATCAAAAAAATTTTATCATACTTATTAACACTAAATTGGTGTTGCTTCCGGTTTGGCTTTATCATGTTTATATTTTCACTTCTTCAACCAATCCAGGTTAATTGGCTTATTTAAATTCACACCTCTCACTTATGTTATTATTAGTGTTATTGTTATTATTATTAGCTCAATACTATTATTGATATTTAAAAGAATTTGCCAATCAAACCTCTAGGCGATCACTCATTCATTTTCTGTTTATTATTTTTCTCCAAATTTTTTCCTTAGATCTCAGTTCGCTCACTACTCCGCAGATCACCAGCACTGCTGTGAAGCGGCGACGAATTAACTCGGGGGGACTTAGTAGCTCCAACCCACAATCGTCTACTCGAATATCATCCTCCGCTATCACCTCCACGACTTCCACCACCACCGCAGCAGTTGCCGCTTCAATCGTTTCAGGTCCACTTTCGGATCCTAATTTCCCAATTACGGGACAACAACCACAATCGATTCCTTACCATACCCAGGCTCCGAGATAGGTTCACATTGTTTAAAAGCCTCCGTCTCCCACCAGCTCCTCACAACCTGACCTAATCAAATCCAACTAATTTTAATGCGCATCCGCTAACCTTTGGCTAACAGACACACGAGCCTCTGAGACAGTACCTACCTATACAGTCAATTTTCATACGCAAGACCGGGTCAGACCAGTGCAGCTTTGTCCATCTCCATCGAAAAGGTCTTTGACCATATTCACCTGGATCTTATCTAACCTAATTAAACTGGAATATTCTTGCCTAGTCTAAGGCCAACGGTCTCATTATACGCCAAAACTATCCATTTTCCCTCATACCTGAATCTTCAGCTCTTTACAGTGACGTTAATAACGCTGGTTCTTGCATCATCTCTTCTAGTTGATCTACTCAAACTGATTTCTCTTATAGGCCTATATGCCCGCCTATTCATCTGTCAAATTTTATCTGCCCATATACCTCTTGCCTTCCGTCAACGCTGCCTTTCAACTTTACATTGCTTTTGCCGTTATCTATGCTTGTTGTTGTCCTTACAACACTAGCTTATCTCTCAGATTTTCTGGAAAATGTTAGTGTTTTGAAACTCTTTGGTAGTCTACCAATTTTCCCCCTTTTGATGGTTCGAGTTCTGCGCACCCAAAGTACTTTTTGATTTATCTATTCTCTTCTTGATGCCTGTCGATCCATCGATGTCATCCCGATTTCGCGCAGGACGAATGAGTCAAACTTTTCACATGGTTAGTTTACGACGTTATAATTCTTAAAAATGCTGTCTGAATGAATAATTGCCATCCGGT